GCGCACACACACACACGTGCATATTTGTGGACTTTGAGACACGCCCCCACGAAAAGGGAAACGATATAAGATGTTCATTGGGACACTTTCTCCCCCAAAACGGAATAAGCACACCAACAAAGTGCACCCCCTTGACTATGTCCACTTTCAGGAAACCCTCCAAGAAATCGCTTCCTCAATAAACCCAAGGGAAGCGATTGGCCATGTCCTGACCAAGAGATTCACTAACTGTCAGGACAAGGCTTAGCAAATGAATGGAGATGAATGCAGCGCTTGTGTGTGAGGGAGCGGTGAGACGAAGGAAGTGACTGACGAAGGCTCAGGACGTGATACCTCTTCTACTTCCCGCGGTCGAAATCTCAGGGAAGTGTCCGAACGTCTTCTCCGGTGAACGAGTGAGTCCTTGGCAACCCGCTTCAGCGCTTGCATTGTAATGGTCTCGCCAAAAAGGCCTCAGTGTGTCTGTGAAACTAGGAGGGGACCCCCAGTTTTTGCGTCATTTGTTCCGTCTCTTTTCTTGAAACCCACCTGTGAAGTGTACCATTGCAACCAGACCCGCATCGGCAGCTTGTTCAGAGAACAGGCTCTCGCTTGACTGGTTGTTGTGGTTCCCGCTGTGACAACATCGTCTTTCTGGGATTTGTTTGCCAATGGCCAAACCTTCTGTTGTCTATCCATTTGGGGTTCGGGACGAGGGGTTCGCGACGAGCTCTAACTATCCATCCACAACAACCAGGGGATGAAAACGATATTTCCCATGTCCTCTTGAAATGTTCGTAATTCCGACCATGGCTCATGTAACAATCATAGAAGTGGAGCCCCCGCGTTTGGAGGTGGGGGTCATGGATGGATCAGGCAAGCTGGCAAGCGCTGGTTCCGAACGATTTCTCCCAGTTTTGTGGTTTTAGTTTTGAGACCTGTCATGGGGTCTCAGGATTTATGTGATATTCCAAGGATCCGCATCCACGTGAGTGCTACTTTGGGTACCCCGTGCCGTAAATGGGTCAGGGTTGCTCCGTAAGGGTTGTATGACATAGAAATGAGCGGGCCTAAATGACTGGAATGGGGGGGGGCGGGGGGACTTTACAACCAAATTAAGTCATCATAACAATAGAATTGCTTGTGAAACTAGGGCCGCCTTTTTTTGGACCCCCCCAAAAGCAAAATGATGGTTTTGCTTCGGTTTCCGCCTTTTTGAAGGTTGCCTAAAAGACGAAGCCCATTTCTCACCATGGCCCAATCCAAAACGAAGCGGCCTTTCACACTCGGGTTCCAGTGGGGCGGTTTCGACCCGTCTCATCCGGGACGTGCATGGCACAGTTCCCTTTTGCAGAAGTAAAGCGGGATGACATAAACCAATGGGGGGGAGATTCGCCTAACTGTGCTTGTTTTCTTCCATCTGGCTAAAGGAGAAAATCAAAATATGTCCAGTAGTGATAGATTCCCTTCAAAACCAACTGGTGAAAATACAGAAACATATTCTGAAGCAGATGGAGGTTCAAGTCTTCTCATTTCTAGCCATGGCTTCAAACTCCTTGTGAACATGGTCATGGTGTCCGATTCTCTGCACATTCTACGATGAGCCGTAAAGGGGTGTCACAGTGACCTGATCTTGGCTCATTGGAGAATGTTTTAGTCTCCCAAAAACTGTTGGATTCTTCTTTGGATGGCTTTCAAAAAAAAACAACCGAACACCACCCCCCATTTTGGCTAAACAAACCAGCGCCTATCTGCACGCTTCGCCTGTGAAACATCAAAAAAACAACAACGAGTGGCTCGAACTCGGGACATGGCCCCATTCAAAATACGGCGTCCTTGTTTCCCTTGGTTGCTGCAACGGCCCCTCTGCAGAAACGTTCAGCTTTTGCTGGGTGCAATTCAGAACCCCTGGAAATTCCACCAAACAGTGAAACTTTGAAGATCCAGCAACATTCCTGGTCCTTTTCATACCAGCGGTTCTGCGAGATGTCCGGGGTTCCTCTTAGCAAGACCCACCATGACCCACGAGGCCCATCAAAATGAAGACCCTTCCAGCCTCAAACCAATGGAGTGGACACTTTTCGGCCTCAAGAAAGGCCGAAAAATCCATCCATGGCCCGTGGCAACCGGGGAAAAGGACCAAAAAAGACAGGTCCAACAGTTTTAAGCAGCAGCAGCTGCTTGACTCTTTGGCAGAAACGGTTCAAATTCTTTCCTCAAAGCATGGTCACCCTTGGAACGATTTGCCAACCAGTGCATCAATCCTTTGCCCAAACCCTAGAACCACGGGGTTTTCATATCCCAAGTAAACCCAATTAAAAACAAAAAGAAATAATCTCGCACGTTGCCGCCCAGCAACTCACCGCTGGCTCCTGCAACTGCAACTTGAGTCTACCACCTCGCTGCTCAAAGACCAACTCCGTACCTTGTGTTGCGCCGATCGAGCCCGTAGAATCCCAATTGGTGGTTTGGCGTCGTGTGGTAAACCTCCATTTGCTTAAGTCCCCTGGGAAAACAACAACAAATCCGGGTAGTGATAGATTCCCTTCAAAACCAGCAGGGGAAAATACAAGATCTCCATAAGCAAATGGAAGTTAAGGGTCGTTTCTCTAAGGGTTCAAATTCCGAATCCAAACCACCAATCCAAACCTACCTGACATGCCATTTGACAGGCCCAGGAAAAAACGAGGAAGCCTCACAGAAATCTTGATAAAAACTTAGGATTGACAGGGTGAAGGAATATAAGCAACGTAGCCATGGCTTCTTTCCAGGAAAACTTGGCACACAGAAAAGACCCCCCTTTTTGTCCCGACCGCTTCATCTTTTTGGTCGACGTGGTGGTTCGCCACATTTTGGGGCCATCTTGCCAGTCCCCGGCCTTGTTGGTCACAGTATGCCCTGGGGTTCAGGCAGGCCACCATTCAAACAAGGGGGGTTCATATTTCACCACCATTGTTGATTCAGTTTAGTGGAATAACATGAGGGTCGTTTTGGGGGTTCAGTTAAGTGGATTGTTTACCTAAGGGTTGTCATCATCGCAATTGGGTCAACCGTTTAATGGCGGTTGAACCCCAGGGTATGCCCTCATTTCCTCCGGCAAAGAGTAAGCGATCTGTAGCTTGCTATCCGGAAAGTTCTCGTCTGGCTGTCTTAGGGACCTTTCTGGGGCTGGATACGTGAAGCCACTCAAGTTCCACAAGTCTGAAAGCTTGAATCGACTAGAACCCTGAATCTCCTTTGCATTCCCAAACCAACCCGGGGAGGCCCTCCAAGAACGCCTACAATAATTTGAATATATAATACATATCCTATCTGGACACAAACTTAATTAAGCTGCTTTAAACACCATAGACACATTTTTCTGGGCATCTGGGGTCCAAACCGAGCGTGTGACACAGAAGGCATCCATTTTGCGTACAAACCATAAGACTTGTTGTAGATCCATGTTGCACGAGCGTCGCAAAAAGGTCGACTACGCAGCTCGCGTCTGAAACCTCAGCCCGGCTGCTGTCGTAACTCGGGTCTGCCATGACTGCAAGGGCAATCGAGCTGACAGGGTCGGGGCAGGGGCAGGCCAATCGAGTTGGCAGGATGCGACAGGCTGCGACAGGATGCATGTCCAAGTTTCCATGTATTGTCAAACAGTTGCTTGGAAGTCAAAGTTTAAAAGTGGACGCAAAACGAATGCAGTTTCACAGCCCATGAAATGACGTGCCAAGTGTTCAATCCGAGAGAAAGAAGCTGCGCGTTCCAGACTCGAGTCAATTTGCACGGGTGCAACTCGGCGAGATCAAAAGTTGGATCAACAGGGTTCAAGCTCCATTTCCCCCAGTCGGCTTCCCTCCAATTCGTGGTTTGGATGGTTTGGCGGGTGTGGTTCCCATTATAGACTAGTTCCTCCAGTAAAGAGGCTAAAATAAGGGTACCTCTTTTTTCCCTGTAGTCTATTCTAATAGGGGAACCCTCCCCCAAAAAAGTTGGGGGAAAGGGCACCTAGTAGAATCAGGATTTTTAAGTGCCTAAACCAATCCCAACCACCAACTGAGGGCATCCCCCAAACCCAAGAACCAGCTTCCTTTTGTGCCCCGTGTTTGAAGGGGAAAGATAGGGAGCCCTGAAAACCTAGCCCTCCATTTGCTCAAGTCCCCCGCAAAAAAAAGTGACAGATAAACCAACAGGGGAACATGATTCATTTTCTCAAGCAACTGGAAGTAGCTGGAGTCTCCATGACCCTTAAGAAATGGGGTCAGTACCCAAAATAATGGGGTCATGGACCCATTTTTAAAGGCATGAAGACTCCAGGTAGCTGTGTCAGGGATCCATACTTGGAGGCTCACCCTGCTTAGTAAGTGTTTAAGGCTGATAGAGCATTTACGTATGCGTTGCATCATGAGTTACAACCATTGCAAATATAGTTATAGATGGTGTACACGTAGTAAACTATTTAGGCTACTTGATAACTGCGCCGAGCCATTTGCTATGTGTTATAATCACTTGTGCTTGTTTACCCAGCTTATAAGTAGATAACCGCGTAGATGTGCAAGTGGCCCATTGTGGATAACACACTTGTGTATCTGAGTTGGGCCACTTATGCTATTTTGGCTAAGTGCATTTGTGGGTATGCCATCCCCCCAAAATTCCCACCACCTTCTGCATGTTCGTGCACTTTGCACAGCTGGGCGAATGTTTTTGCTTTCCACACAGACACAGGTTAGATTGAGAAACGCAGCAGTGAGCTTGCAAAATGCTAAATGTGAGCACGGCAAGTCTGCATGTCTTACCTGGAAGTATGCATCGTTGCAAGTTGGCATGCGTTGAAGAACAGTTTGGGAATGGGCTTCACGTGCTTGATTTTGTGCAGAGAATGTTTTTAACGGATCATGGCTTGCACTTTTGGAGCATGAGTCGCGCCACCCGGCTTGCACTCTGCGGCCTTTGCGTGGATCAATTTCAAGACATAGCTCGCAAGCAGGGCGCTAGACGCACTTGCTCGTTTGCAGAGCTCTTCATTGCCGCACGGCATGGTCCTGAGCGCCGATCTCCGTCACGCGGTGCAGGCGAAGCTCAAAGATGCGGCCGACGGCGACCGCCTGGTCAAAGCCGTTGACGACATCATGAGCATGCTTCGCACTGAGGGGCATGTTTGTACTCAAAGGCTTCCTCCGCAACAAGTCGGGGTGCACCCTTGTAACCGAGACGGCCTAGGACTGAGCAGCGCAGACGTGCACTCGTTGCTCGATGAAATCATTGACGTCGGCTTCGTGGCGAGCCGTGTCCATGCGGTGGCAGTCGAGATTGCGGACGACTCGGTCCGGATGTGGAACGAGGAACTCGTGCATGCCTCGGCGAAGCTCGGCACGCTCCAGGGCGACAAGCTGAAGGCCGTCTCCCTCTCGGCGTCTCACACGAACTTTGCCCTGCGCCTGCTTGCGCAGGAGGTGGAGCACGAGAGCGACCTCGTGTCGGTGCAAGGCGCGCCTGCAACAGCGGGATCGCGCTTTCTACGAGGCAGCCTTGCACGGACTGGAGTGGAGCGTCATCAGCAAGGACGTGGCCGAGGCCTTCCCAGAGCTCCTGCACTATGTCCAGACGCAAGGGAATGCCACGCTCAGCCGCGGGGAGCACGAACTCCAAGTGGTTCGGCACGCTGTGGCTGCAGGCGGACGCCACTGGGAATGTCGACTTTGGCGTCATCAAGAAGCGGACATTGGCATCGAAGCCTGGGTGCGCAAAGAGCGTGCCACACCTTTACACCTTTGCCCTCAAGTGCGCAGGGGGGCGCTCGGCGGTGTTCTTGCAGGAGACGGAGAACTTCGTCAGGGCGCACGCTCCGTCCTCTCGCATGTTAGGCCCTGACATCTGGGAGATTCTCTCTCAGGACGCCCGTGGACCGGCCCAGAACGTCTTGTTCAGGCATGCGTTGGTGAAGCTGGCCTACATCCGCGACACGCTCACCGCCCAAGAGGCACGTAAAGCCTTCACCAAGGCTGTGTGGGGCTTGCGCGAGCAGTGTGACCTGCAGAAGGACCACCGGATCGTGGCAGCCATGGGCTATGCGGATGTTGCGCTGGCTGCCATGGTGCTGAACTTGAAGGTGCACGGGGAGCGCAAGTACGAGACTATGCAGGGGATGGCCCATGGCTTTGTCACGATGCTCCGCACGATTGCTGGCAATGCTGCCATCCGGTCCCCGTGGGAAGAGTTTGAAGAGGCTTGCCCGGCAAGCAGCTCTGCCTCACAGCCCTTGAAAGACAAGCAAATCATGCGCGAGCTCAACACGGATGGCAGTGTCAAGCCACATGAGGAACATGAGGATCGTCTCCTGGAGGCTGGCTTCGAAATGGGCCAAAGTGTTCGGCGAAAGCCGGACATGTTGGAAGGCAAGCTTGTGGGGCTGAAGGATGGCAAGGTCCGTGTGGAGCTCATTGAGAACGGGCTGGTGGCCAAGATACTGATCGACGACTTCCTGAGCGGGGCTTGGCACAAGTTCACGCCCAGGGCGCAGCCGCAGCTGATTGAGAACCCTGCGAAGTACCATCCCAGCCACTTCCCGGAGTGGCTTGCCTTCAACATGAAGGCGCGCATCACCTCAGAAAATCGCGGAGGCAGTGTGCCGGCACGGAGCTGACCACTGGGACAAGCTCAACATCCAAGTCAAGCCAAGCAAGCTCGTGCTGTGCAAGTCAGCCATCCCAAAGCACAAGCTCATGTTGGCTCCTGCGTCCCTCAACTTGCGCCACAAGTTCACGCCCCCTGAGGGGCCACCCCCCTTCATGGTCGAGACGGCATTCCCGGGCGAGTGCTACTTTTGGATTGCGCCGACCGTTGTCCAGCCCAAGGCCGAAGATGACGGTGGCTTCCGCAACAAGGAGGCCTTAAGCGAAGGCGACCGCCTGGTGCTGTTCAAGGACAGGGCTGCAGCCCCGGAGCCTGCAGCCTTGGACATGACGCCTCCCAAGCGCCGGGGCACGGTGAGCGAAGAGCTCGCAGGGGCAGAGCCTAAGAAGCGGCTCAGGATGAAGGGGCATTGATCATGTCCGTGTCTCGGGCCGCCAACGTGCTAAATTTTGAACTCTTTGGTTTTTCCACATTTGTGCAAGATCCTTATGCATGATCCCTTGACACCATGGCACGTTGGCTTGATCGAAGTAGAAACCTCCACTCACGGCGCTGCAAGAACTTGAAACAGCTTGAGCCAAGGCATGTTTGACATGGTCCATCCATTTGCCCACGCCAGATTGAGAGAGCTTGTTGCTTTTGCACGCACGTTGTATATTTTGCGTGAGTCGTGGCACACACATGTTCTGTCCGCAAAGCAGGGCCTGCAGGGCTCGCTGAGCTGATGCAGGGCTTTTGAAGTTTCGTGAGACTTGACTGTTTGTGATAGATTGGCTCGCTATAGTGCACTTCAGCAATCTTGGAAGTTTCTATAGAGTCATGTCGCTGGAGCTGGAGAACCTGATCGTTGTCCGCTACAAGGACACTCCTGATGCCAAGCGCAAAAATGAGTGGGTGCCCAAGCAAAAGCTGGAGCATGAGAAGCATTGGATGTGCTTCTCAAAGTGGGACCGGCATTTCGTTCGCTTCTGCAGCGGCAAGTCGTTGGACCTTCGGGCGGGCAAGCCCTCAGCCACGGTGGACACACAGTTCATGGATGAGGTGTTTGCTGCGAGGCAGAGTGCCTGCAACCTGGCTGTGCAAGAGGCGTTGCGTGTCAGCGACGACGAAGCCGACAATGGGCCGAGACGTAAGGTGGCTCGCAAGGGCTTCAAGGCCACTGCAAAGCACGCCACTGTGGCGCCGCACGCCATTGAGGTCACTCTCCCCCAGGTAGGCTCGCTCCCGCCACGCAAAGCGTGGGCGCTGTTTGAGGGGATCGGTGCCGGCACGTTCTGGCTTGAGCTGACTAGCCCAAACCTGGAGCATCTCCGGGAAGGCGCCCAAACGTCGCCGGCAATTGTTAAGTCAAGAGGGTCTGCCAGCAAAGGCCGAGCCGGCAAGCCCAAGCATGAGGCGGGCCCGCCTGAAGCGGCAGGAGGTGAAGACTCCGTCCAAAGCGAGTCTGATTGATTGGGTGGAAGGTCGTCATGTGTTCACTCATGTTCAATCCTTTTCTTTTGTGATCAAGGCAGATTTGCGTGCTGTGTTGATAGAGATCCGGCTGACCGTCACATCCATCATTCTGTAGATACGGTCACAAGCATGTCGAGAACGCACCCACTGCAGGAGCTCGCTGAAACAGGGCTTGGGCAGCAAGCATATTCTTTGCACCACGTAAAAGGCGCGTTCTTTTGAGGAGAAGCTTCCCCACCCTTCCCCCCATTTTGGGTTGACACCGCTGAGATCAACGCCGCGCCGGCTGTGGCTCGCAAGTTTTTTTGTTTTTTTCTTTTCTGCGCGGGCGCACTAGGGCAGCCATGCCCTGGGTGGATTTCTACATTCCTGACCTGGAAGAGGCTGTTTCTTCCACCCCCCCAAACCGCATCGCTTCCATGCACAGGAGAACGATGAGTTTGCGGCTTTCGAGCTGCGCGGCCTCTTGGAGGGCATGACCCAGGCTGCCTGCGTCTTTCACACATCAGGATGCCATCCCTGCCCTGCGTCAGGTGGACACAAGCCGGTGGGTGAACGACAAGAGCAAGCTCACGTGGCACCACACGAAGTGCTGGCGCATCATGCATGCAGGCGCTGAGACCATGGCATGCCAACTGCATGAAGAAACAGTTCAGACATGCTTGTACGTCAGGTGGCACGATCTTCAGGAACCTGAAGAAGAGCGAGATCCCTCCACGGAAAGGAGCGCCTCCGCTTGTCGGTGATTCTCTCACGCTGGCTGCGTGCAGGCTGGGAGTACATGGACAAGAGGCAGAGCTGGCAGCCATCTGGCATGAGGGTGGAGGCCTGCGCTCCTCAATGTTCTTCGTAGCACTGCTGCACATGCTGCAAACCCTTGCCCTGCTTGCAGTTCACCAGCCCGCCGGCTGACGACCTTGCAGGCGAGCAGCAGGAGGAGGACATCACACGCCTTCACATCATGTTGCAACATGTTTCTCCCCTTGTTTGCAGGAGGCGCCCATCAAGGAGCCCGAGCAAGAGCAGGAAGAGGAGGAGGAGGAGGAGGGGGCTCATTGGGAGTCTTCAGATTTGAATATCGCTACTGCTAGGAAGATTTCATGGAGGCCGCGCCGGAGGCCTGGACATGACAGTACAACCTTTCGAATCAGCCCACCAGCAAAACTGGTCATGTGTGCTTTGTTGCCATTGCAGGAGCGACGTGAGATGAAGAGGTTGCCGTACAAGGCCGGGGCAAAACTGCAGCAACTCAGCAAGCATGTCCCCGCAAGGCCATGCCGCCCCAGCCGCCTCCTCGTGTCAAAGCCATGAGCTCAGCACGCTTAGCGCGGATTGAAAGCTTTCAAAAATCAAGCCTTTGAAAGCTCAGCTTTTTTTTCCAGGGAGCTTCCGCTTCGCAGGCTTGAACATGCATGGTTGCCGCGTGTCGAGGCCCGGCCAGCTCCAAAGACCGCTTTTGGACCACCTCTGAAGAGGACGAAGAAGGCCCGGTCAGTCCTTTTCACAACATGCTGGGGCTCTCATGCAATCCTTCAGGATCTGCCGGCATCACGGAAGTCGAAGAGCCCACGCGCCGCAGAGAAGAAGGCACGACCTCGCTCCGAGTTCGCCGGCTTGCGTGTGTGCAGGTGTCATTTGATGCGTCCTTGAATCTGGCAAGTGTGATGACAACAGTTGTTGTGGAAGCAAGTTTGCACAAATTTGCGGTGCGTCGCCTTTGTGTTGGCAGAGCTTGCGCAGGCTTTGGATCACGCGCCACCGCCCCCACCGCCCCCACCGCCGCCGCCGGCACCCGTTGAACAATGGGTGCCGCCCCCTCCGCCTGTACCAGCCCAGCAGGCGTGTTACACGGGCTGACCTAGATGGCAAATGTGCTGTGTTGCAGCGACGTGTGAGGTGGTTCGCGTCCATCAAGAGTCAGCCTCATGGAGTGTGGCCGGGCCTGGAGTTCCGGTCAGCCACACCCTGAGCTTGAATTGAACGCCCCACGCTGCAGGTGAGCTGCGACCTGATGGCTCTGGCAGGGGCTTTTACTTCGGGAACAGGCGCTGGGCTTTGATTCGTGCAAGGTCGACCACAAAGCATGTTGCAATCTTGTGAACATTCGTGTTGCATGTGCTCCTCTCACCTCTGTCCTCGCAGCCGTGGCTGTCAGGTTCATGGACGCCAACGGCGAGTGGTGGGAGCCGTGGGCTTGGAATCGTGGCGCGGGACGGTTGTGTTGTGATCCGGCCTGGTTGAGGCCGGGACTTGGTCGAAGCCGTGCACGCACACGCGGCGGAGCTGCAAGGTCGACAGTCAACAAGGCCTTGGACGTCGTGCCTCGACAGCACAGCACTTGCCCGCTGTCATTTGATTGTATTGCTTTGATTGTTGCATGAAGGATTGATCTGCATCCCAGGCGATGAAGATGGCGGACACGTGTCATTTTGCTGTGGTGCGGGCCTCCGGGGTTGTCACGCAAAAGCAGACAATTGATACGCGCGTTAAGAATCCTTAAGGCGCGCATCAATTTTCAGCTCGTTCTGCATGTTGTGTGGGCATATGATTGAATTGAAGATGGAGTTGTTTGAGAGTTGCATTGCTTTAGGCTGGGCACATGGCTTCATCTTCGCGCCCGCCGAGCAGTGGGTGAGACCATAGCCGGTGGGGAATTTGGGAGGGCCCAGCCGCTGAGGTTGGTAGTGACAAGAAATAACATTACATTCAACATTCAACATGTTTGATGCGTTGATGGATGTGTAGATCTTCAGCCTATGTGAGAGCGGTTTCGATGTCAATGGGATTCTGGGTTGGTTTCTGAAGTTGACATCCTTCTGGCCGATTGATCTCATGCATTGGGGAAACCCTCTTTTTATAAATCTATAAAAATTCTAGACTGGTAGCCCCCCATTTTTATAGATCTATAAAAAGGATAAGGCTAGAGCCCCTCATTTTTATAGATCTATAAAATTTATCAGGCTGTAGCATCCACATTTTATAGATCTATATAAATGTAGCACTGTTCAATCACATGTGGGTAGATCTACCAGGGTTTCCTTTTGTACCATTTCATGCCTCTCTCACTCAACATTCACTGGATATGATTCTTGATGGATATGTGCCAACCCTGTTAATTTGCATCAATTGTGTATTGACTAGCTGGCTTGTCCAAGGTTTGTGATGTGAGACAAGTTTGAGGAGCAATCATATGTAGGTGACAATGAATTGGTTGGGCCTTCCATCGGATAAGCGCTTAGGCTGTCTGGTGGGCTTTAAGGTAACCTTGAAAACCCTTGGGTGCAGCTTGGTAGCCCCTTCTAAGTGAAGCCATCATGGGGAAGCTCACCAGACAGTGTTTGCTCGTGCAGCCACATCGACGCATTACAAGGGAGCACACATGAACACCTTGCAAAGGCAACACGCTTCAAAGACAACACACCTCAAAACAAGGGGCACACACCACACTTCATGTCAGCAGCACGCAGCAGTGCACGCGAGAGCCGAACCGCAGGCAGAGCCGCCAGCGCGAAAAGGTACGTGACTACACCAGTGTTTTAATTCTTCGTCGATGGGATTAAGGGACATCACGTGCCACGTTTTGTTTTGCTTCAGGGTGAGTTTGCCGAGAAAGTGTGACGAATATCTCCTGCCAGCTTTGAACTCCATGAACAAACAACATGTCCACTCGCTTAAAAGTATACTGGATGTCATGTGTCTTTGTGTGTGGTGTGGACCAGCAGGTAACAGGCGCACATGATTCACGAGACTTTGTCAAGTTTGTTGTTGAACCCTCCGATGTATTCGCACCCGCTTCACCAACATGTTAGACCCAGCCCCGACCCGCCAACTGGTGAGAGTGCCAGTGCCGACCTAGTTTGCAGTTCCACGGATCCAGATCAAGATGGCTCCTCTGTACGTGTAGCAAGGAGGCTTGTACTTTGATCGTGCCCCATGCCGTGTGGCAACTCGCCCCCCA